CAAATGTCATTTTAAAACATGGTCGTTTTTTAAAAAAGATTTCCCCGAGTAATTTTGCAGAATAACCAAATTAGGTCAACAATGATTATTAAGCTCCATAAACTATTCAAACCAAATCAACACGAACTGGTTTTTTAGTCCCGTTACCTTAGCCTCTTCCCTACAGATGCAGTTAATTTTTATAATCCCTTTAGGGTCTGCAGGTTCCTTTTGATATAAGGAAACTAATGTTTCTTTCTACAGTCGAATCCAAATTAAATTCCTAAATTTTTCCCTACTGGCAATTTCTAATAAAATGCAGCTCTGAGGGAACTTGACCAACATAGCATAAATTAGACTCACATTTATTCTGGAGTGTGAGGGAAAGCCCAGAGGTCAAAGGGACAAGCGTTGGCACTGGGAATGGGAAAACCTGGCTTGCAGCCGCTTGTTTCTGCCACAGTCCTGCTGTAGGGGCCATTACCTTCACCAGTTCAATTTCCTCATCTGTACAATGAGGCCACCACCACTAGATGATTGCTAAAGTCTCTTCCTGCTGGAAAGGTCTCTATTCTGAAAGACAGGTCTGCATGGTTGGCCAAGTGAGCTACCATGGTGAGCTAATGAACGTAGTATAATTGAACTTTCTAGATCTCAGAGAATCTACATGTGCCCCGGGTTTTATTGTCATGTGAATGTGCCCTGGGCTTCTAATGTGCAAAAAGACAGTCACCAACACGTAAGGCTACATTTAAAGACAAGGACAGGAGAATTTCTAAGAGAAGGAACAGACAAGCAGAGATTGCTTGAACTTGAAGATGGATGAGAAGCAAGGTCAAATCTTAGTTTCCTGCTATGGTGAAAGGAAAACAGTTTCCTGTTATAGGAGGCCAGAGAGGCACACAGAGAGGGTCTTACTGTATCACTAAATTGCTCAGGTGGGGCTCCAACTTACCATGACCCTGCTTCAGCCTCCTAGAGTGCAGGTATTGCAGGCATGTGCCACTATACTTGGCTGCACTTTTTCTTTCTGTCCTTCCTCCATCAGCTCGTACACATATCAGTGAAACAGCAATTGTACAAGGTAGGCTGTAGAAAGAAAGCAAAGGCCTTTGACTAATTAATAAAAGAATAAATTTAGTTTTGAGTGGTCAGTGGTTTCTACATCTTTCAAATGTGGCAAATCACATTATATGCCAGAAGAAAAAAGCTTGGAAAATCATCCTAACTTGTTAAGAGTGGAGAATCCTTAGCTTGAGCTTTTGAGTTCAATTTCTCATAAAGGAAGATGGGTTTTTCATGCTGATTGGACCAATTCATCCTGTTCTCATCATGGTGAATAAACTCAGATTGTTCAGAAAAATAATATGATGATTAATTCAGGTTTCTGGTTCATGCATTTTTTGTGGGCCCGGGAGCCCTTTTTCCTTTGGAAAACAAGCCTGGAAGTGTAAAGATACATCAAATCACCGGGGGACAGACATACACATTCCTATAGCCTCTGCAGGGCTCAGGGGTTCAAATGCAACCTGACTGAATCACAAGAACATTAATTGAGTAGATAAAGAGGTCCTCATAATTATAAACTGCAGTAGGTATAACAAGAGGCTAAATACATAGCTGCAGTCGTAATTAGCTGGTGCTTCAAATTAGTAATGCTAGTTTCAGTCAAAAATCAGTGACGTTGCACACTGAAAGCCTTGTCACCGTGTAGTTCATTCCTCATTAGACCTCACTGTGTGAAGCTTTCAATACAATGCCATGCTGAGCAAGAAAGGAGAAAGTTGGAGCTCTTTGTGCGCCTTCCAAGAGAAATGGAACCCTATGGAAGGAGACTCATTCTCCTCAGAGATAGAAGCATTAACTGTTCTTTGTTTGATGTGTTAAAAAAATGTAGCAGGCAGTTTTGCTTGCAACCGATAACACCCGCATGCACACTCAATCTGCTATTCAAATTTGTGTGTCGAACTCAATAGCTCACGAACTGTTCCAAAATGTAGCTGAGAACCTCCTAACAAATCAAAGCCATGTCTAAAGTCCTGAAAGCGCCCTTACTGCTGGCCACTCACACACTTGTCATGCAAGTTGCAGCATATGTCCTTTTCGTCTTCTCCTTGTTTTTCCTTCGATATTTTAATTATATCTTTCCCTTTGAAGGGAGAGAAGGTAGTTTGCAAAGCCAAGAGACCACAGCACTTCAGTTCTCTTCACCAGAGAATTAAATGTGATCTATGGGCCTGTCATTTGGAGCTGTCAGGTGCATGAAATGAACAGATAGCAAGGAAACTGACATCTTGCTCACATTCCTGGGAAAGCAAAGACTTAAGTATCCTTCTGTGCAACAAATCCTCTTTCCCCCCTCCCCTGCTGAGTATGGCTTTAGCTTGGTACTCCACCCCACCTCTAACACCGTATCTTTCCTATATTTCAACAAATTGATGGGCTTAGAGTATCTCTGGCTGATATATGTGGTGCTTACATGCAATCTCGTGTTCCACCCTAATGGACTGAAGCTGTGACAATGCCTGCTTCATTCAACCTCAGCCTGTAACACAGAGCCACTGGGCATGTGGCTATGGCTTAGGGCACTGATCCTAGCTCATGGATGGAATGAAAGATGATACTAGAAAACATTACCCCTGTGGAAGGCATCTTAGACTGAACAAGGCACGGCCTCCTTCTGTGGGCAGGATTTGGGATCTTTCTCATTGAGTAAGGCCCATATGTTGGGTTGGAAACTAGGGGAGATGTCTGGTACTTTTCTTTGCTTTCCTTATAGAGTGCTAATACTTGTGCAGCGTACTCATTAATGGTCTATGAGCACTTGTGTGTCTAGTATTGTATGTACTGTGAAAGTGGGTATGTTTAAATACCCTTAAAGTGTTACCATTATTTTAAAATGGACATGTGGAGGCTGTTTATCCACAAGATATGGCTGCCAGTGACACTTTGTATTTGACAGTTCAAGGATTCCTATGAAGAAAAGTGGATGATTTAGGTTCAGCAGAATTCTATAACCCATGTACTTCAATATCTAATTAAATTGCATATTGTAGGCTCTGATCTTATAATTTAAAATTATGTATCATACTCAGAAGCAAACTAGC